GCCTCCCAGAGAGCTAGGATTACAGGCGTGAGCCACCGCGCCCGCCCTCATTTTCACTTTAGTATTAATTGTGTTATGTGGTTGGAGAGAAGGAAGGGTGTGGGTAAACTGAGGCTTGGATTGGTTGAAGACTTGAGTTTCTAGTAAGGGGGGGTTTTAGCAGCCAGGAATAGTGTTAGAATTTTGGGACACGGGTTCGAAAAGCCTAGAACGGACATCAGTGCTCAGTGTGCTGCAGAGGAGAAAGCTGTCCCACATCTAATGATTCTGCACCTCCAGCAGCAGTATGTGAGGGCTGTCATTCTATTTATTCCTTCAAAGTAAACCCCAGACTTTTGACTCCCTCTCAATCCCATTTCGCTTACCTTCTTGACCACGAATCCACTTCTATAACAGCAAATTATTCTTTTGATTCTTGAGAATAGGGTTACCTAAGTGTGGGTGCAGAATTTCATGATTTATCTGAGTGTCTGGTTTGTAACCATCTCTCCTATAAATAATTGTCTTGGCCTTGGCCAGGGGAGGAAGGTGTCAGAAAGCATCTGCATCCCTGATAGTCTAGTGGCTAGTGGAAAAAAAAAGGATCTGAGAAAGTTTCTCTTTCCTGAGAGTCAAGTGGCAGCACAGCCGGCAGCTGGATGGTGGCTCTGGGGCAGGAAGCGAGTTTCATCACCTCTGGGAAATCAGAGGCCAGAGCTGGAGGCCAGGAAATCGGAGGCCAGACCAAGACAACAACTTCTGGTGGGAACCTAGGCAGGGCTTGGCTCCCTGAATGACCAGGCTTGTTAGGAAGAGGACGTTAAGCTTAGCAAAGTGGCCAGTGTGCTGAACCCATTGCCAATAAACTAGGGACTAAGATGAGACAAAGAAAGCCTTCGCACACTCCGTAATAAGGCTGGAGGTAGGGGGTGTGTTTTTTAAACTCTTTTCACGTGGGAGCATCAGGACTTCCTAGATAGGTCAATCTGGTCTTAAAGGAAATTTATCCCTTGTCTCTGATTGATGCTGGGGTGGAATGCAGAGCCTAAGACATTTGGGCATCCACTTCAGACTCTGTTTTTCCCATGGGAACTGGAAGGGAAGGTGTCACTATGTCACTAGGGAGCAGTGGCTGCCCCTTATCCTTCTCTTGTGACTTCTGTCCAAGATTCCTCCCAAGCCCCCGTCCTCCGCTCCTCTTCTCCAGGAGTAACTTGACTCAAGTGAAGATACACGTAAGACCCTCTGAACAGAAGAGAGGCATGGGCAGGCAAAGGATGAGGAGATCCTAAGGTGTGTCTGGTCCCCATGCCCAACACCATGTAACTCCAGACAGTCCACTGGGCCTCCAGTGGTCTAGAAGAAGATATTCTTGTCATCTTTTTTTTTTTTTTTTTTTTGAGACAGAGTCTCACTCTCTTGCCTGGGCCAGAGTGCCGTGGCATCAGCCTAGCTCACAGCAACCTCAAACTCCTGGGCTCAAGCAATCCTCCTGCCTCAGCCTCCCAGGTAGCTGGGACTACAGGCATGCGCCACCATGCCCGGCTAATTTTTTCTATTTTTAGTTGTTTGGCCAATTTCTTTTCTATTTTTAGCAGAGACGGGGTCTCGCTCTTATTCGGGCTGGTCTTGAACTCCTGAGCTCAAGTGATCCACCCGCCTCGGCCTCTCAGAGTGCTAGGATTACAGGCGTGAGCCACCGCGCCCGGCCTCTTGTCATCTTTATGGCAATAACCTTAGTGGATCAGATCATGCCTGCTTGTCTTAGCCCATCCCCCACTGCCAATGGGCAGTGTGGAATCAAAGAGAGCTTGGGGCCCCCTAAAGATGGGCCCCTCTTCTTGGGGGAAACTGCCCATCATAGAGGAATGGCACAGGCTCTAGGAGTGTAAGAAATAGGAGGGCACAGCCTCGAGGGGGGATTTCTAGGGAGGGGGATTTCTGTGACCACGGGGTTATGATATGACTGTGCTGACACCTGACAGCCACCAAGGGTAGCCAGAAGCCACAAGTGCAATAAGGGCCTTGGCTACTGTGAGGTCTGACTCTTCTTCCTTCACACTGAACCTAGCACAGGATACTATCACTCACCCTGATACCTGAGCCGGGAAACCAAAGCCGCATTCAAAAAATTCATAAAACTGTACAAACTGTAAGAATATAGTTTGGAGAATTATTACAGAGAGGGCACACTGTGTAACCATAGCTAGATCAAGATACAGAGCTTTACCGGGATCCAGACACCCCCTCTTCTGTCATTGCCCAATGCCCAAAGGCAGCCACTACTCTGAATTCTTCACCATCAATTAGTTTTGTCTGTTTTTGAACTTTTATAGATGAAATTCTACATAATATATCTTCTACGTCTGGCATCTTCTACTCAACGTGATGCTTATAAGATTTATTTGTGTAGTGGCACTACATTCATTTTCACTGTTATTTTTAGTATTCTGTTGCATGAATGTAACACAATTTATCCATTTTAGCCATGACAAATAGTGCTGCTAGGAACATTCTTGCCCATATCTTTGTGGGGACATCCTAGGAGGCACGTAAGCACTCTGTTGTATAAGTAAAAGTGGGATTGTGGGGTTCTGCTTTAGTAGAAGCTACACAATTTTTGAAATTATACTCCATATATTTCCAATTTATACCGTACCTACAGAGGATGAGTATTCTGGTTGCTTCACATCCTTGACAACACTTGGTATTGCCAATTTTTTTCATGTCAGCCATTCTGGAGGCTTTAGGACATTTAATTTGCTACCTAATTCCATGGATTTGACCTTGGTCAGCTTTCACCTGGACTTTAGCAACAGCTATGTAACTTATGTCTCTCTGTCTCAGTCTTGTGCCTCTTAGGTCCCTTCTTGTCCCTGGAGCTCAAAACCGCGAATCCAGTCATGCCAGCCTTCTTTGTGAATGTCTTCAGTGTTTTCCCACAGCCATAAAATCCAAGCTTCTTACAAGACCTCCTCGACTTTGTCCTGTCTACATCATAAACTCTGAACTCCAGCAACACTTTAGAGTTGGATTTATTTGCTCATTTAACAAACACTTCATGAGGGTCTGCTATGAGCTGGACTTATTGTGAACAAAACAGACAGAATAGCCTCATGGAGCTCATCTGCTAGCAATAATTTTATATTATTGTCGTATTATTAGTCAAATAATTTCTGACACCCACCCATGCTATTTTATAACTCTGCTTCTTCCCATCTGTTCTCACTTGCTCATCTTAATCATTCTTCAAGATGGTTTAACTTTAACTCATGAAGCCTTCCTTGAACTTTTTCTCTGTGATTCCACAGCACTTTGTACATTCCACTGTTAAATAATTGATTTTTGTTATCTGTCTGCTTCATGAGACCAAGGATGGAGGCTGTACCTTAATTTTTCCTTCATATTTTTAGTATCTATCCTAGAGCCTTACACAGAGTAGGTGCTCTATTGATGATTTTAGGCCCGAGTTGAGCTAAGCTGATTTCTGGTCATCGATGTATGGATCCAAGACTCTGGGTAATGCTAAGTTTCAGGGACTAGGTATTACCTGTCTTATTCTTTTGTGTCCAGTTTGCCTAAGACAAATGTTACATTTGTATCTCCCTATCTAGCACTGGGCTTGGCATACAGGAGCTTAATAAATGGAGTTAATGGATGAGGAGCAGGTTACAGATAAGAGCTTATTTCATAAGTAGCTTTTTTTTCAAGAGATATGTATGCAAGGCAATTAGCACACACTTTCTGCCCAGAATGTTTTCTCATTTTAATCTGGCTTGGCTGTGCCTCTCAAAGGCACACTCCACTCTGAAGCATTGGGAAGTGAGTTTGCTTCTCTCTTCTCAATGCCTTCATTTCTCCTGCACTGCTGCCACCCTAGAAATGACTGCTAATGAAAATTGTAAGCTCCAGTTTGCTGAGACTAATGGGATAGGGGGTGGCTGTTCATGCATAACTGAGCCATCTAAGCCCAACATCAGTTTTAAAAAAATATTTTATTATGGACGTTTTTAAACATACACAAAAATAAAGGGACCCCCCCCATTTGCCCGTTACCCGTGTTCAACCAGAAGCAGTTTTTCTTTTTTTTATGCCAAAGACATTTAATCACCTAGAAAAAGTCTATTACTGTTGCTGGGAAACTCAAAAGGCAACTGGAGACAGTGTTCCCTTCCTAACAAATGGACTTTTGAGAGTTTAAATTAGACTTCAGAGTCTGACTAATGACACACTCATAGAATAATTATAATAAAATGCCTTGGCCCGTTGATAGGCAATTTTGGTTGAGTGAATACCGAAGTTATATTTGGACTAGCTGTATGAGAGCTCACCAGTTTTCCAGACATCTATACTTAGTTAAAAACAACAATCACCACAAACAACAAAAAAGCCTAAAGCAACCAACTGGCACAAGACAATTTTTTGGGAATGGCTGTAGAAATGTATGTACAATTTCATAATTTATCATGATATCATATTCTTTTTCTTTTTAAAGAAGGGTTTACTAAGGCATTAAATGCTATGAATAAAATGGAAAATATATGTCTAATAAGAGAAGTTTTAAAAGTACCTCCACCTTCTGGGGAGAGACAGACAATGTTAATTACTGCTTGATCCTATCTTTGCTCCTTGCTTTGACTCCCCACCACCCATCTCTTCCCCAGAACCATCTGCATCATGTTATAGGTGTTTGAACACTTCCCATTTGACTTTCACAAGGCCTTACAATTGCAAGGAGCTCAGGCTTTTAGAGTTGAGCTAACTCAAATCAAGAAGGTAGCTTGAATTTACATGCACTCAAATTCAAGAAAAGAGCCTATAATTTGGGAGGCTGAGGTGGGAGGATCACTTGAGGCCCAGAGTTCAAGACCAGCCTGGGCAACATAGTGAGACCCCATCCCTACAAAATACACACATGCACACACACACACACACAGACACACACATTTATACACACACACAAATTAGCAGGGTGTGGTGGCACATACCTATAGTCCCCGCTACTTCGGAGGCTGAAGCAGGAAGATCTCTCGAGCTCAGGAGTTCAAGGCTGCAGTGAGCTATGATCCTGCCACTGCACTCCAGCATGGGTGACAGAGCAAGACCCTATCTCTTAATCTGTTAATTTTTTTTCTCTATCTATACTGGCCTTTTTCTCAACTTGTTTTAATCATGAGATATCAGTAAAATATCAGTTTACTTTTATTTTCTTGTAGCTGATTTAGAAACTCTGCTTACATATCTGATTCTTTGAGCATTGGTGACACAAATAATGACAAAAGTGCTTTTCTTCTTCCATGTTATGGGCTTACAAACTTTGTTTTACAAAGGATCAGATAATACCAGTTTTAGGCTTTGCAAGCCATTTGGTCTCTGTTGCAACTACTGAAATTTGCCGTTGTTGTGCTAAAGCAGCCACAGACAACGCGAAAATAAATGGGCATTGGTTGTG